AGTTTTTGTAGGTCCGTTTTTACTAGTACGCACGCCATTTCTCCTATATTTCCAAACAAAAAAAAAAGCCAGAGGAGGCAAGCTGGCATCACGTACATGTAATTACAAAGAGTTCATTTATGATTTTCCTAATAAAAATCCCAGAAAATTTTACGATATTCGAGTCCTTTGACGGTGTCACGGAAATACGACCAAGCGATCCTTTCGTCCAGCGGATTTTCCGTAGGAATATCAAGAACAGGCCTAAAATTGAATTTTTATTGGCAGATTTAGCAAAACCAAAAAAGGCGATAGAAACTAACTGCTGCTCAGGCAGTAGTGTGGGCACTCCATTATTAGTGATGTGATCGAGATGCTCTTATACCCCAGATACAGCTATGCCAGGCCCTTCGATACTGAGCTGTATAACTGCAGTTGGTATCCATCAAATTTTCGATGCATGTGCACTATTGCTGATAGGTTTAACAAATAAAGAAGCAAAATACTTTTTCACGAAAAAATTGCCAAAGATGTGAAAGAAACAAGTTCAACCTAACGAAAGAACCAAAAACCAATTGCGGTAAAGTTCAGTCCATGCATGAAATTTTGCACAATTTTCACTGGGTTGCTACAAATTTTTGCAAAATTCTAACTATAGGAAGCAGCAAGGAACAACTAACCCACTTTCAAGCAGCTCGAAAACCATATAAAGATACTTATCAGTTGGATCGTCCAGTACCTATAAATTATATTAGTGAAATTGACTCCAGAAAAATTCGAGAATTTTGGCGTAACATGACTGCTCACAAATGCCACTGCTGCCAGACTTCACTATTCATGCCAGCGAAAAAACCCCCGATGTAAGCTAATAAATCAGTAAGGCAGCTGAGACAAGAGAATGGTAAAGAGAGGGCAAATAGTTCTCAAAAATGCAATTGGCAAAATTTCCAGTTCCTTTGACCAGTGCTGCTGCGACCGATGTTCAGCCTGCTGGTGATTCTAACGTTGGAGAAATATTCTAGGAAATCAGGTGGAAATTTATTAAAATTGCGAGCTTTTAAGTTTTCAAGCGTTGATGAGTTTTTTTGCCTAATTTCCTAAAGTGTTTTCCCAAAATTTGAAAAAAATCATTAAACAACCAAAATTCAAGAATGTTTTTTTGGATCATTGCAGATTACCTCAACAAGCTTAACAATATTTGGATGATTGAGCTTTTTGAGAATGGCAATTTCACGCTGTACAATTTGCATAGGATCACGCAACGCCTGCAGAATTGGCCTCTTGTTTTTGCGAGTTGGTGGTGGACCTGCAGAGAGCATACTGATGAAAATAAATGTTCTACACAAGCAATATCATTTACATAAATAGTGTGACGCAGCAGTAGTACCAAGCAGATCAAAATTCTTCGATCAAATGCGGACAGGGTTTCAGCGTTACAGCTCACTTCGTAAAGTTTCGGCTTTACAGCTCACGTGCTCTACATGAGAAGCACGTGGATAAAAACGCTTATTTTACGCCTTAGGACCATACATAAGTTATCAAAGTTTTAGCTTTATAGTTTTTATAGGTGTTGAAATCGAAAAGCTCAGACAAAAGTTTTAAACACACAACAATACACAAACACGTGCACATACATACGAACAACCTGTCGACAGTATGCGTTTTTGCACTGCGTGGATGCAAAAGCACATGAAAAAGAAATTTGACGAAAAGTGTGAAGTTTTATATGGGGGCTGGAAATCGCCAGATTTTGTAAAAATCAAGAACTGAAGCTCACGAGCAGTAAAATTGAGCAAAGGGGACAAAAGCAGGAAAAAGTCATGTCGGACACGGCACCACCCCGTCGGAAATAATAGTGTGGAAGAAAGATGCTTTTTTAACGAGAAAATAGTCCCTGCTATGTTTGTACATAAAAATACAAAACTTACGGAAGCACGCGAAATTTTTGAGCAATTTCATTTTATCAAG